GTGTGTTCGTGGCAACTTGTTACGCAGCAATAGAAAACTAGTAAGATCTTTTGGCAACACAGATAAAACTGCATTCTCCGGTAAGGTTTTCAGCAACAAAACTGACATTTTGACCTCTGACTCCTGTAGTTCCCAATGAGTCCTGAATGCCTCCAAGGAAAGTGTCTCATTTACTTTTCCATAAAACCATCAACAGTCAGGCACTATTTTTAAAGCAGCCAAAAACATTCTCATGTGACCCAACTCCACTCAGCAACTCTTTCAAATGAGGTTCAGACCTGGGGTATGTTTAAATGACTCGAAGTGAGAGTTGCCTCAGAAAACAGGCACCTAGAAGGCTGCCTTCATAATTTATTTTTACTACACACACACACACACACACACACAGAGACACACACACACACAATCTTCTCTTTCCAAGAGCTTAGAAATATTAAAGAAATATTTAATATTTTTTTAAATTAGGTAAAGAAAAAGGCTTAATAATCAACACACAGATTTTTTAAATGAAATTTCACAAGAACTGAAAATACACAGCCCCAAGTTTTGTTGGTTAATACAATTTTCATCCCTCAAGTCATCATCTATGAATATCCGATCCTGTAAAAGTTGTTTACTAGAATAGCCAGGGGCTTTGACATTTTTTTCTACCACAACTTTACACACAGAAAGTAAACAGCTGCAGAGTCAGCTGTTTGTATATTCAGGACATGTGTATATATTCCCCTTGGAGTTCTGTCACCCAGGAGCCCTCCTCCGACATTTGGCAAATATATGCCTGTGTGCTGATGGTTCAAAAAGACATGTCTGCTGCCCTTCCTGAAGATGCCCTGCCTTTGATGGTACTGCAAGAGCATTAGTGGACCATCAGCATAAAAATGGAATGCAAGATTGCTAAGTCTCCACCCCAGAGTCTATTGACAGACCTTCTAGAGGCAGCTTGAAGGAGAAGGGGAATAGCACGCTCCACTCGTAAATCTGAACTGTGTTACAAAGAGTGAGCTCCCAATTCGGCAGATGTAGTAAAATGACTACAATCTCTCCTTTCGTTTAGAATACAGTAACTAGCTCTGCTAAGGGGATTTGAAAAGCATGTAGCCCAATCTTCTACAACCAAGGAAACAGAAGTCTACAGAAGCTACATAAAAATGAAAATGCCAAACCAGCCATTTCTCCATGGGAACAGTACAAGAGCAGTCCTGTTTTGAGAGTTCAATCACCAGACCCATTTTTCTTCAACTCAAAGGGCTGTACAGCTGGCTAAGAGGCACCTCTAAGGGGTTCAAAACAGCTCTGTGTTGAGACCTAAACATCTGAGAAACAGAGGCTCTGAGCACCATGGTGTCCATGGTGACCACTGAGGAGCCAGGTGCACATTCTAATGAGGCTTGCTGGCCAAACAGCACCCAGGGAGCAAAGGCTGTGGGACATTCTAGAAAAGACTCACACATACACAAAACCTGAATAAGTGGCTAGCCTGCCAGCAAGCTCTCCTCTCGAGACAGACAGCAGTTCTGAACTGTGTCAGGCCCTGGACCAAGATCTCGCCTACACACTACTGTAACTTTAACCTACACATTTAGCCATCACCAAAACTTTACAAAGTTGATTTGCATTCTATCCCCTTTTGCTAATGAAGAAACAAGGGTCACCTACCCAGAATTCCTGAGCTTGTGAATGTAACTATACCCCAGCTTTGCACCATGTTCCTCTAATTCCACTAATAAAAAAGTAAAGCTCTTTTTGCTCACCTATGGAGCACCCTGTGTTAGCTAAAGAGAAGTACAAACTGGGGTTCCAGGGACAGTCTAAGAGTTCTTATGTCAAAGGAAGGGAGCATATCGGTTTAGAGCTCACCACTCAAGCCATCATTGCCTGTCATTTATAGATTCAAAAAAGTTCTCAAAAATCATTTCTTAAAAATTGTTATTAGGGGATGAGTAAATGACTCAAGTCAGTAAAATGCTTGACACACAAGCATATGGACCTGAGTTCTAGCCCTAACACCCATGTAAAAAGCTGGTGTGCAGCACATATATGTAATCCCAGTGCTAGAGAGGTGGAGACGGGAGGATCTCTGGAACTTTCTGGCCACCCAGCTTAGCTAAATCAGTGAGCTCCATGTTCAGTGAGAGACCGACTCTCCAAAAAATAATGTGGAGAACAATCAAGGAAGACATCTGACATTGACATCTGGCCTCTGAGAAAGAGAGAGAGAGAGAGAGAGAGAGAGAGAGAGAG